GGAGTTATAAAATGAAAATGAATTGTAAAAATGGTTTCATCATAAAATGCCATGTTGTGAGCCACCTAGGTTGCCGTACATGTGACAATTTTATCAAAATATATGTATTCCACGCCAAGAATACATAAAATATTTCATGTTCACCACCCACGTATGTGTACGTGCAACTCCGTTCAACAGCCGCCATACATATACGTCCCGGACATACATTTTATTTGTATCACCTAGGTTACCTGTTTAACCGCAGACCACTAAAACTGACTGAGGGTTGAAGGTAGATGCTACTCGCAATTTCCTCTATAAAAACAAACCTACTAAAAATATTGTCAGTGTTTTAATACTTCTAGACATCGAAACGTGCCTTGTCAGACCTTATATATCTTTTTTTTTTTTCACCATATGTCACACAGCAAAATGTTGAGATATTGAGATATATATTCGTTCCATAGAAGGTGGCAAGGGGGTAGCTGGTACAGGTTACAGGAACTAAAAAGCCATTTTACGTTTTTTATGGGAAATAAAATGGAAAGTTCCATTTACATTAAAAAAAAGGTTTTTACACTTTACAGATAAAGCAAATTCCTAATTACATTTTTATAATATACTTGATAATTTGTGTTTAACAATCAAAATTGGAAATTGCGTATGAATTATGACATTTAATGTGGGAAATGCTTTCTACGCTTACAAAAAATAAGATCTTCGTACAAATTACCGATGAATAAAACAGCTGATTACATTTTACACCTTGCCCATGTCTACGAATTTGCGTTTTTTTATTTATTTAAATTACATTATTACGAAAATAAAAAAAAATGATTACAGCTTACGAAAATACCCCTTCGCGACCCTCATAGAAAACAATGGTTAACTGACAAAACATACTATTATCACTACATTTTGTACATCGATTTTCTCCGAACTGAGTACGGTGGCCCAGATACTTTTATTCCATTTTCTTCATCTTCGTGACAAGAAATATCCAATATGTGAAAATGAAGAAAATGACAACATTTTTACTTCTGTGTAGCATTCCATACTGCCTTTTATAGCAAAATATATTTACATATTCAGTCATATTTTTTTTTATTTTGTAAACATAAAAATCGGCATTTGTTTATCAAAGGATAGCTTAATACCGGTATACATGAACATCTGACAACGATCAATCGTTAAAAACAACTCAACCAACTAACCAATATTAATAACAACGTCGGGAGTGGGAGACATGAGCAAAGGATTCTGGGACTTCACGTCATGCATACGTAATGAGGCAATTATAAAGTCTACACAGTGGGCGCAGAAGCCAACATGTTTACTTTTTAAATTATCGATAATTTTGACATACAGGATGGTTGTCATCGGTCGTTAAGCAACATAAAACGAGCGGAATCTTATGCAAAGACAATCAGCGCTGTTGGAAATTATATGACGGCTATCCTAACGAGATTTTAAGAGTTTTTTTCTGGGATTTTGAAACCGGAAGCAGTTTGGCGGAAATCAAAAATGGCGGTGTAGCAACGAGTGGCGGATCGACGCCAATACATTTAAAAAGGTATCAATCATGTAACTGGTGCAGAGAAGTATACAGTAGCAATACATTTTATTTTGAAGGTGCGTATTTTACTGGGAATCTTTAAATGTATGTTTTAGCGAGTGCCGGACCAACTGGTTTTTGGGGTCACGGTGACATGCATCGTGACGTGAATGCCGTGAATTTCTAAAAACTGCTCAAGAAATTACACAAGTCGATGATAATTTTGAATACATTGAACAGTTTCTGTCAATTTGTTCCACTCCTTCATCGCCGTGATCAACGTTTTTTTCTGGCGACGTTCAGCGCTTTTCGTCGTCTTTCATTGACACGTGACCGAGTTTGTTTACATCTGAAATGAACTGTCAATAAGCCCTTGGAATGGCGAGCCCAGTCACTATAATTAACTGTACGCCAAGGCTGTATGGGTGTGTGTGTGGGGGGGGTGACTGGTAATTAGTGTATAAAAATAGACGAGGGATGAAGGCTTCAATTCAGCATTTTTTTAAACTAGAAAATCAGACAAAAGTAATGTCAAATTAAATTTATAAAAAATACCAATTTGGAGAATACTGTAAAAGGGTGAATTATTCACTAGGTTTTAATTTTGCTTATTTCACAGACTGGCAAATGCACTAAACTAAAACCCAGTGAATATGTAAAATTTAGCATAGAACACATTATGTTAATGATAAAACCGTGAATTTAAAACCCGCTGAACATGCCTTAAATGCTAAATCACTTCAGCGAAATATAAACCCAGTGAAAATTAATCATTTTACAGTATTAGTTGCTCTTTAGAATATCACTTTACCTTTACATCAAGAAAACTAAACAGATTGACCCCTATTTACGAATTCTTAGTGGTGTACACAGTTTTACAGTTGGGGGCATAGAATTTGTTATATGCACGAATCACAGGACTGGGTATGAACCAGAACGGTCACGAATCATAGACTTCGTCTCACAACAAATTTGCTTTCTGGTTTAAAATTACAATGGATAACAAAAGATAGATTTAACATTGTAAACAACATAAACAATAGTGTCCCGTGATTCCTTGGTGCAATCCCTGGGTTGGGCAGGTTCCCCTTTAACTGTTTAATTTTAGTTACAAATGATATTTACGATTTGAGGATTGTACAGTATTATGTACAAAATTTTGAGAAAGTCATAGACACCTCATATTGTAGGACCCCCCAAAAATGTCAAACCAACAAACAAAATTTTGTTTGCAGAATAATTCCACAGTTCCTCTATCTGTTAGATAAAGAGACTGTGATAATTCCTAATGTTCCTATTTTTTCGTTCTGTTTGTTGGAACAAACAAAAATGGTTCATCTTTCATAAACTACAAAGAAAGAAATATGATCTTTCATGGGTTCTTCCCGTTGGTTTAGGGACGGATCATTATAAATTGAGGGTTGAGGAGAGCACCTCGATTGTCGCACTGTGTTATATTTGGCAACGTGCATGTTTAGTTTTAAATCAGCTAAATCAGTAAACCCAGCTAAAAATTAAACAGTATTCCCTGAAGAAAACATCCAGGCATTTTCACTGCCAGACGACCTCAACTGCAAAAAACAACGGTCAAAAACTCTAAACAAATATTGGGCTAGTTGTTGAGTCTCCAACAGTGTAGCAAGATTACCCCATGTGCAACATATATAAATATGGTTGCTCGAGCCAGCAAAAATTACCGTGTATACATGTTCCACTTGAGCTAAGTTCGGCTCTATAAATCCTTGGGGTTCAGCTCTGATAGGATTCGGCCCGACATGCTTTGGGCTGTAAACGCATCAAGCTGAAATCGTATTGCTATCTCGTCCCACCAATGACTTATACACGTATGTTGCAAAACTGTGTGGACACTTAACGAATGGTAGCATCCATGACCAAAAAATAAGAGCTGTTCGATGGGGACGTTGGGCAATAATCCTTCACTGCATCCTTGCTTGTCTTCTTTGATCATACCTGTTTCATAAGGAGAGTACCGATATATTCTGCATTGGCAACAACACAAGCACAACACCAAAATTGTTTTGAGCCGTGTTGTTTTCATAATAAGTAATTCGGTTCTGAACAAACTGGATTGAACTCGAGCGGGTCTCGGCTCTTGTCGTCCCAACTGTGTAAATGCATTGGAGATAATTTCCTGTTAATCGATGGGAGGAGCAGTGGTTCGGCTCCTATAGTATGCTGTCGTGTAAACGTAGCAATTTTTTATATTGATTACCGGTATATTGATTACATGGTTACTATCAATTTTTTTGTTTATCATGGTTCTTGTGTGTATTTATTCTCAGCTTAATAATCTTATTCATGTGGGCTTATCTGATTTATAATCAGGGATTTGTTTAAACAAGGGAACAGGGGCGCAGCACCCTCATACCGTGGCCATGTGCCCCCTTACCATGGGGAGCAGATCCTCTGGCAACCATAAAATTCAGAATGACCAGGGATCACATGTGGCCACAGTCTTCAACTGTGACCTGTCTGATAGTAATTTTGGCCCCAAGATACAGGTAGCCATAGAAGCTTCATTTTAACTTAGAATTATCAAAAACTCCACACCCTGGTAGGGAGAACCCTATCTCCCCCACTTGGTGGCGCCGCTGAATTGCAGTGCTCCCGCTTGCAGTTTTTTTCTAGGAAAACTCCTGCATAATTATCTGATATTTTGGTGCATGAAGTAAAATGTATACTAATTATGCAACAATTACTTTATTCTCAAGATAGTAGGTCAAAAGTTGTAGTAAACAGCACAAATATTGCAGAACATTTATGTACATGTACATTTGGCTGTGATCTAATTTTCAGCACAGGAAACTGACGTCTCTCTAATGCGACCTCATTATCTTATTATTGAAAATACAAAAGAACCAAGTTGGAAGATTTGTTTGATGAACACCCACTTTTTCTGTACCCTATCTTTCTAAATTTATACATGTTACTGGTATATGGAATTTTGTAGCATTCTTTGTCGCTCAAGCAAACATAGAACATTTCATATTTTTTAGGCGAGTTGTGTTGAGCATGTTCCAAAGCAGGATTCAAAACTATACGTTATATATATAATTTTTGATGAAAAGATATTTTGGGTGTTTTGTTTGGAATTTATTTTCACTGATTTTTGACAAGTTGAATGTAAAATATAAGAAAAAAGTTGTATCACCTTTAATCTCTCTTAATAATCT